GGATTTGAACCCCAGGTCGTGAGCACAGTTTTAGCTGCAGTACAGCGGTTTAACCACTGCGCCACGGGGCCCTCAAAATCAAGCATGTTAAGTACAGTGAAGAAAAATCCTACCTTTTAACCAATGTCTAAATCCAAAAATGTCTCTCTATTGTGATATATTCTCAGTTCCTGTTTCTAAGTGAAAATAATTGCCCACACACACACACAAAAAGCCCATGTGGCTCCAGTTTTAAAAGTTGCCAGTTTTAAAATAGGCCTTTGAGAGCAGATTCATTTTCAGACTTATTAAGGAAAAGAGTATTTGCCCACTGGCTGGGAGAAAAATTTGGGGGCCAGGCTATCCTAAAAAGCAGGACTGAGAAAGCTTTTTGAATTTCATAGGCTCCTGCCAGGAGTGGCCTAGACCCTCCTACTGCTGCCATAAACCATCTTGCACATTATCTTGGATGTGCACACACACAGACATCTACCCAGTTCTTTCTCTTTGTTACATGCACACGCATGCATGCTCCTCCTTCCATGCAACTAGGTTGTAAAAGTATTCCATAGAGACTTTTAGGAAGCTTAATTAGAGCAGGGGTAGTTAAGAGGGTCACAGCAGTCAGAAAGAGGGTTTAACCTTCTCTCCCTAGCAGTGCCAGCCCCCAGGAAGCTGTCTATATAGCAGATTAGTTTTAAAATGCTTCCATTGGCACAAATTCAGTCATCTTTTTTTTAAAATGCAGTTTTATTGCAGCACAGATTCTTTGAAGGACAGTGGTGCTTTAGAAGGCGAGAATAAGCCATTTCCTCCCTAGTAGCAATTCCCCCCCATCCGCCTCATTAAAAAAATCTTAATTGCAAATGGGAGATAGAAAGTGAGGATATGGGGCAAGTAGAGAGGCTATAGGGGCTGAAAGATCTCCTTTGCTGTGCTGAAGGCAGCAGTATTTGCTGCAGTATTAATAATCTCTCATTATTGGCTGTGCTGACTAAGGCTGGTGAGCATCAAATCTTTCAAAAATATCTGAAGGTCCATAGTTGTTCACTTCAGCATTAACAGTTCCTTGTTTGTTAAGTGCCTAGTCTAAAGAGTTGTTACATCTTGTAAGAGAGAGAGGGTTCTAGTGTGTACAGTTGTGCCTCGCTAGACGATGATAATCCATTCCACTGAAATCGCTGTTTAGTGAAATCATCGTCTAGTGAAAAGCATTTCCTCATTGGAATACATTGAAACCTGTTTAGTGTGTTCCAACGGGGAAGAATCGCTGTTGTCTAGTGAAGATCGGCCATAGGAAAGCCACTTTGCGAACGGCTGAGCAGCTGTTTAAATCGCTGTCTTGTGAAGCTTAGGTCCTGAAAACACCTGTTTGCGAGCGCAGAGGGAGCTGTCAAAATCGTTGTCTAGTGAAAATCGGTTTGCGAAGCAGGGATCAAACATTGTCCAGCGAAATTCCCCCATAGGAATCACTGTTTTGCGAATCGCTATAGCGATCGCAAAAAGCCAATGTCTAGCGAAAAAACTGTCATGCGGGGTAACTGTCTAGTGAGGCACCACTGTACTGTAGAATGGATTCATCTTAGCTTTGACATTTATTTTTGTTCATTTTTAATTTATCCTAATTTTGCCAAAAAAACCCAAACTACACTGTGTGACAATTTATAAAATTCATAGCATGCATTGTTTTATGAAACTTGTTCCTGACTTCTTGATCTTCTTCAGAAAGGTGTCTTCCGCCTGGCTGATGAAGACTTCTTTATTGAGCCGCTGGTTTCAAATGAAACTATAGTGAATACTGCCCATCCCCACAGGATATATAGACGCCACATTCCAGAATATGAGACAGAAGAACTTATTTCTGTAGTGAGCAGGAAGCAGTCTGACTTCTTCAGGATGTGTGGAGTACAAGGTACTTGTTTTCCTGATTTACAAATTATTCATGGGTTGAAGAACATCTGGAAGCCTTCTAACTCATTAGCTGGCTTGTATCTTTTTCTGATTAAAAACTTTTTGCTCTACTCTCAGTGAATAGTGTGAAGAACTGTTTCACTTTTGTATCTGAGAATTGTCACTACATGTTCATATGGTCAGATTTGATGTGATAGTAATTTTTTAAAAGTAGTTAAAATATATTTTAAAATATAAAATAGCAACTGCTGTAAAATAGCATCATGGTTACAAAATAGTAGAGTGGATTTGATTTAAATCTATTTGATATAAACCAGTTTGATTTAAATCACAGATTAAAATAAATTTAAAAACTGGATTTTTGGATGATTAAAACAAAATCTAAGTTTTGATTTAAATTGTGGTTTAAAGCAGTTTTATTGTAAAAAAATCATAGATTTTTATCCACTTTGCAGCATGGGGAGGGGGAAAGAATTAGATTCAAACTCCAGCACACATAATAAATTACAGCCTCAGAATGTGGGAGGAGGAAAAAAAGACAGCTGTATAAATAGATACTGATCTAAAAGTTAAATTCTTTATCTGAGAAATAATTTGTTGCTCCTTAAGTAAAATTGTACTAAAGAAGGTTTTTTTTTTGCAGCAACTTGTTCCTTCATAACATTTGTATCAAACATTAGGGTTTTTCCTTCTTAAGAAGATTCCTCAAAACATGATGGAACTTCATTTATGGTGCAGTTGTCTTTTTGTTAACTGATTAAATCCCCACTCCTCACCACTTTGATGTTCCTTCCCCACAGCTGCTGCTATTTACAGTTTTTAAAGGGTATATTACTTGCATTCACACCTTTAAGGCCACCTGTACTCAGCTCTTCATTGTCATTTTTCCAAATAAACATGCTCAGTTCCTTCAGTAAATACATGGCAAATCAGTGGCTTGACACATACTTTTTTTTCAGTACAGTATAAGAGTCAATGTATCAGTTACAGGGGAGTATAAGCAAAAAGGCTACTGTAGCACTCCAAGTACTAGTGGATTTCTCAAAATACATCTGGCTGGTCATTGTTGAAGCAAAAAGTTGAGCTATGTATGTCTTTGGCCTTGATTTATCAGGATTCTCCTAATAGGTATGAGAAAGTCCAAAATCAGTAATGTCACAATGGATCTTGGTAGATAACTGGACATGCATTACAGGAACTTAGTAAAAGTTGTGCTAGGAATTCGTTTATTTGAATGGTTTTAGTAAAAGAGGCTTTTAAAATTATCTGGATCATGATGTTGAATCTGCCTTATGAAGACAAATGAAAGTTTCAACTTCTGAATGTTTTGTCCAAGTTATTGACTAGATCTGGTTATAACAATTATATAACTCCTATATTATAACGAATGTATTGTCTTTCAATTCAGTTCAAGAACCAGGAAACCTGTGCACTGGCTGTAACTTTTAAAACTCTAATGAACTGGGAACCAAGACGCTATAAGGGCATTCTGCTAATTTATTAAGAATGTCTGGATAAGCTTGCCTGTTACACTATTTAAATTGTACAGTGGTGCCTCGCTTAGCGATTGCCTCGTTTAATGATGTATTCGCTTAGCGATGAGGGTTTTTGAGCGATTTTGCGCTCCGTTTTAGCAATGTTTTCAATGGGGAAATTTCGCATAGCGATGTTCGAGACCTTGCTTCGCTTAGCAATGACAATTTAGGTCCCCCTGTTTCACTTAGCGATGTCTGTTTTCGCTATTTTAAATGTGTCTTAAAATGTTCAAAAACTGTTTAAAATGCTTGGAATCGTTAGTGCACCCTGTAAAACCTTTGCAAACTTAATTTGGCTTTGTTCTGAGTCTCCGTTAATTTTTGGTGAATTTCCCCCCCATTGGAATGCATTGACAGCTGTCAAACCTGCAGGTCAATGCATTCCAGGGGGGGGGGGAACATCACCAAAACTAAATAACAAGGAAAGGCGTTTCGCTTAGCGATGTTTCCTATGGCGATTTTCGCTTAAGGATGGTAATCCGTTCCCATTGGAACGGATTATCCAGTTTTCAATGCATCTCTATGGGAAAACGCATTTCGCTTAGCGATGTTTTCCCATAGCAATTTTTTTTTGAACCAATTAAAATAGTTAAGCTGTACCTGGAAAAAAGTGGACACAGTCTTCTCAGTTATTGTGAATAGGCTTTACAACAGGGCGGGAAGCCTCTGGTCTGTGAATCTCACCAAGGTCTTACATTTCTTGTTAATCTCACTATCCTTTTGGAAAGATGAGCTAGTCTGTTCATGTTGCTCACCGGAAATGCTAGTAGGAAGGGATTAAAGGCCCTGTTATTTTGATTCTGAACATAGAAGTGACATCTGGAACACTTTGTTCTGATGTGTGCTTAATGATTTGCTGTATATTTTACTAAACTGCAGAAGCCTGTGCTGCAGGGTCAGAAGACCAGCAGTCGTAAGATCGAATCCACACGACGGCGTGAGCTCCCATTGCTTTGTCCCAGCTCCTCGCCAACCTAGCAGTTTGAAAGCATATAAATGCGAGTAAATAAATAGGTACCATCTCAGTGGGAAGGTAAAACAGCGTTCCCTAGTCACGTTGGCCACGTGACAATGGAAACTGTCTTCGGACAAGTGGTGGCTCTAAGGCTTGAAAAATGGGATGAGCACCGCCCCCTAAAGTTGGACACGACTGGACTAAAAATGTCAAGGGGAACTAAAATTAAATCTCTTTGTAGATTATCTAAACATGGATGCTTGACATTTCACTCTTCCATTGTTTTAAAATACAATTTTATTTACATATTCTTGAAGTTTTTTCAGATTGAAATATGAGGTGGAATAATGTTGTTTAGTGCCTACATTTGGAAGTAAGATGGATGGATTATTCTCTTTTTGAGTGAACTGTTGCTAGTGATGATTTTTTTAAACTTTTGGATATAATTCAACAAAGAGTATTTGAAACGCTTGAAGGTGTTCTACTCTTCTACTTATTGTCCAGTGGTTTTGTGTAAACTGCATAATTAAATTGTAAACTACCCAGAGAGTGCTTTAAGCACTATGAGGCAGTATATAAGCACTTTGCTTTACTCTTTTTTTTCTTTTTAAGTAAATAACTCAGAATGATCAAATGCAGGAGAAGGAATTACATGCAGGATGGTAGGAGTCTTCCACCAGAAGACATTGCTGTCTGGAATGTGTTGTTTGTGAATAACCTTTACAGCAATTTCATGATAACATGTAAAGTGTAACATTCATCTTTTGAGCATTTTATGAAATGAATATAGTTTCACACATAAACAATGTCAACTTCACATTGTGAGTTTTCTCACAATGTGAAGCTGACATTGCTTATGTGTGAAAATTATTCTCTGTGGTGGTGTTGTCTTAAATTCTGGTATTAGAACCTTTTTTATCTGCTTGCTTAGCTGGTTCTAAATGCCCACTCCACTGATGAGCAGGCGAAGAGGGATTTAATACCATTTTGACCCTTTTAAAATGCATATCAGCTAAAGATGGGCTTCCCTGCATCGCTGCCTCTGAGTACAGCCAAGTGGGGACCTGCCAGAGGAGGCGGGACTGGGAAGTGCTGAACACCTGTTCATCCATGAAATGAATTGCACGAACCGCTGAACTACAGTTCATGCCCATCTCTAATATCAGCCTATGCAAGTTGTAGCACAGTCATTTCCAGATGTGTGTCCCCAGAAATCCCAGCTAGTATGACTGAAGACCAGAGGTTCTAAAGAACAAAATCCAATAACATCTGGGCACTAGAGCCAAGACTAGTGCTTTTGGTACCTATGTAAATGATACCATCTCTCATCTACTCTGCTGTGAGATCTGAGCATGAAAAATCGGAAAGAGAATCTCCTAGCAAAGAAGGAAAAGTTTATGCTTCATAAACATAAAAGTTTTTTACTTGAAGGAGAGTAAATAGGATAAGGAGGTGTTATTTTTTATTTCCCTAATACTCACTTGTAGATTCTGCTCTAGATTCTATTGCCTTTTAATTTTTTTTTTTTTTTGCCCAGCCCTGGGACAAGATGGAAACCAGTTGGGAAATCATTGGTAAAAACAGCAATCATGGTAGTGCCCTTTTCCTCAGGCAATCTCTTATGCAAGACCAAAGGAGGTCTGAATTCCACCCATATTGATGAACTAAATAGAAACCTGTTAGGAGACTTCAAGATTACTGGTTTAGTATTAGGAGGCAATAGGAGAAAGCATAAGTCATGGATCCCAATTATGAAGGAAAGAGATATAAATAGACCCTGCTTCCTATCAGAATTACACAGATGCTTCAGCGCTGGTCCTTGCTGGCCTGTATTATAACATGATCCTGTGCATTGCAAGGCTTTTATTTCTTCTCAAATTCTAAGAAAGCCCTGCGGAGTCTGAGAAGCAGAGAGAAAAATGGGAGGAGACGTGGCAGAGGAAGCGGCGGATCAAACAGCGCTCAGTGAGCAAGGAGAAATGGGTGGAGACCCTGGTGGTAGCTGACACAAAGATGGTGGAATACCATGGCAGTAATAACATTGAGAAATATGTCCTGACAGTCATGAACATGGTAAGTGTTACAATGTCTGTGTTGGTCATTTTCTTGTGGAGCAGACAAAGTTGTGTACTTCATTGGCTAGATTTTTCAAAAGTGGTCTGCTTTCAATCCACCAACAACTAGATATGTTGAATAATGTGATGAATGAGGAAACAGCAGCCAACTAGCTTGGCATAAATTACAAATGCCTAGTTGAATGAGGTTGGGGGAAGGGTCAATCTTTCATTTTTGTCAACTGGAATTATCTGTACAGGAGCAGGAGAGATGAAATAGCGGTAGCCAGTCCAGTTGATTCTCTCCTACTTTTCACCAGTGTCTTTTATCCTTGATTGTTCATATGACTGTGCAAAACTGGGACAGAATAGATACCCCGTTGATATATCATACACCTCACAATACAACAGTCTCCTTTTCTGGGCCTGCTGAGGTGAACTTGAGAGTCGTGTGGGCATCTCTTGTTATCTGTGAGACTTTAAAAAACATATTGAGGCTAAATTATGTGGGGAATAGTTTAGCACGTTGTGGCCTCCATGGCTGCCATGAGTCTGTCTCAAAGACAATGTCTGTACCCGCTCATTTACCAGGTACAACTCTAGACGTGTTTTTGTATGCTGGATGAGATGATAGTGTTTAGATTCACTGGAATGTGGTGGTTGATTAAGGTGATCTAAACTAGGAGGCTGGGAGTTATGGATTGTTTTCTTCTGATGTCTGGGGATCTTCCTGTTGCCTTGGTTTTGCCTGCTGGACCTCTGCAATGGTGAAATGGTCAGGGACAATTCTACGACATTCTACGTACAGTGGGGTCTTGACTTAAGAACGGCTTGAGTTAAGAACATTTTGACTTAAGAACTGCTCTCATAGGAAAATATTGACTTGACTTACATACTTAGATTTGAGATAAGAACTGAAAAAAACCACGTGCGAGGCAGGGAAAGTGCAAAATTTGAACTTTCAGTTAACTGTTGGCCAGTGAAAAGGGTGCCTGTCTGCTTCCTCACTCCTCCCAGCGTTTAGAGAGTGGAGTGGGAGACAGTCTTCGGACTGCCTGGTCCTGGACTGCCTGGACTGTATTTTCCCTGCCTTCCCTGAACCTTTCTTGACCTAAGGAAAAAAAAAAAAGAAACAAAATATCCCCCTCTAGTGGTCGAAGGCGGAATAGCAGCTTCCCATTAGTTTCTATGGACGGAAAAGAGCAGATACGGATCCGGTGGTTTTCAATGCATTCCTATGAGAAATACAGATTTGACCTGAGAACTTTTTGACTTGAGAACCGCCTTCCAATACGGATTAAGTTCTCAAGTCAAGACCCCACTGTATGGGCAAGACATTGGAACATATGTATTGGTGATAGGGATTCTTGGAAGACATGGATTGTCTGGATTTCCAAAAGTGAAAAAAGAGGTTTAAAGCAAAAGTTATAGTTGCAAAGCAAGGAAATTCATTGTCACAGATAAATCCTCTTCACTCAAAACATGAATGCATTGATGCATCATTCCTGGTAGCTAAACTTCCAGCCCAAATAATCACTGTAACAATATCTCTAGCTAGTCTACTCTTGTGGTGTGAAAAAACTGAAATGAAACCAATGCAATATTGGTAACATTGTGTAATATCTACACAAAATTTATTAGTGGAGTCCAACTGATGTGTGTTTGTGGGAAGGGTCATTGTGTTTAATAGGCTCCTTTGCATGTGGGCAGAGGCTTTTTCCTTTGTGGAATTCAAAGAGATTGGCTAACCTCTCCTGTCTACTTGGTGTTGAAGTTAAAGGACTAGAATGATACATCAGTGTGTCTATTTTTTGAGTGAGAAGGGGTTGATTAGTGGTCTGGATGTCTATTTTTTTGAGGATAGTATAGATTCAACGATGTTGTTGTTGTTTAGTCATTTAGTCGTGTCCGACTCTTTGTGACCTCATGGACCAGAGCATGCCAGGCCCTCCTGTCTTCCACTGCCTCCCGGAGTTGGGTCAAATTCATGTTGGTAGCTTCAATGACACTGTCCAACAATCTCGTGCTCTGTCGTCCCCTTCTCCTCTTGCCTTCACACTTTCCCAACATCAGGGTCTTTTCCATGGAGTCTTCTCTTCTCATCAGATGGCAAAAGTACTAGAGCCTCAGCTTCAGGATCTGTCCTTCCAGTGAGCACTCAGGGTTGATTTCCTTTAGAATTGATAAGTTTGTTCTCTTTGCAGTCCAGGGGACTCTCAAGAGGACCACAGTTTAAGAGCATCAATTCTTTGGTGGTCAGGTTTCTTTATGGTCCAGCTCTCGCTTCCATACATCACTACAGGAAAAACCATAGCTTTGACTATGCGGACTTTTGTCGGCAAGGTGATGTCTCTGCTTTTTAAGATGCTGTCAAGGTTTGTCATCACTTTCCTCCCAAGAAGCAGGCTTCTTTTAATTTTGTGACTGCTGTCACCATCTGCAGTGATCATAGAGCCCAAGAAAGTAAAATCTGCACTGCCTCCATATATTCCCCTTCTATTTGCCAGGAGGTGATGGGACCAGTGGCCAAGATCTTAGCTTTTTTTGATGTTGAGCTTCAGACCATTTTTTGCACTCTCCTCTTTTACCCTCATTACAAGGTTCTTTAATTCCTCCTCACTTTCTGCCATCAGAGTAGTATCATCTGCATATTGAAGATTGTTGATATTTCTTCCGGCAATCTTACTTCCGGCTTGGGATTCCTCCAGTCTGGGCTTTCACATGATGTATTTTGCATATAAGTTAAATAAGCCAGGAGACAATATACAGCCTTGTTGTACTCCTTTCCCAATTTTGAACCAGTCAGTTTTTCCATATCCAGTTCTAACTGTTGCTTCCTGTCCCACGTATAGATTTCTCAGGAGATAGATAAGGTGGTCAGGCACTCCCATTTCTTTAAGGACTTGCCATAGTTTGCTGTGGTCCACGCAGTCAAAGACTTTTGTATAGTCAATGAAACAGAAGTAGATGTTTTTCTGGAACTCTCTGGCTTTCTCCATAATCCCGTGCATGTTAGCAATTTGGTCTCTAGTTCCTCTGCCCTTTCGAAATCCAGCTGTGATGTTGAACGGTCTGCCTTGCATTCATATTGAAATCATTCTATCATTTTTGAGATTGTATCCCAATACAGCTTGTCCCTATAAGGGCTACTCCATTTCTTTTACGGGATTCCTGCCCACAATAGTAGATATGATAATCGTCTGAATTGAATTTGCCCATTCCCATCAATTTTAGTTCACTGACACCCAGGATGTCAATGTTTATTCTTGCCATCTCCTGTTGGACCACATCCAGCTTAGCAAGCTTCATAGATCTTACATTCCAGGTTCCTATGCAGTGTTTTTCTTTGCAGCATCGGACTTTCCTTTCACTTCCAGGCACATCGACGGCTGAGCATCCTTTCAGCTTTGGCCCAACGATTTCATTAACTCTGGAGCTACTTGTACTTGGCCTCCTCTCTTTCTCAGTAACATGTTGGATGCCTTCTGACCTGAGGGGCCATATTCCAGTGTCATATCTTTTAGCCTTTTGTTTCTGTTCATGGGTTTTCTTGGCAAAGATACTGTAGTGGATTGCCAATTCCTGCTCAAGGTGGATCGCATTTAGTCAGAACTCTGCACTATGACCTGTCCGTCTTGGGTGTCCCTGCACAGCATAGCCCATAGCTTCTCTGAATTACTCAAGCCGCTTCGCTATGACAAGGCAGAAATCCTTGAAGGGGAGGTCATAGATCTATGATCAATCATAGATCTGTGTATGAAAACAATAGCAGTCAATCCATCAAAACATTGACATATGAATGCATTGTTATAGAATGGACTTGCAGAACAAGAGTAGGATTGTTTCCTTTCTCATTCATATAATTCCTTTCTTGTTTCTGTTTATTTCATAATACAGGTGGCTGGTTTATTCCATGATGCTAGTATTGGGAATCCAATTCACATTTCAATTGTGCGTCTTATCTTTCTGGAAAATGAGGAGGTAAAAAGCAAAAAAATGCACCGATGTTTCACATGGATAGTTCACAGCAGATCTTCTGTTCCTACCAGTAGAGCACCATATTGCTTCCAGACATTATTTTTTGTTTCTTTCTGATTCTTCAGACATAACCCACAGACTGCACTTACTAGACAACTAGTAGCCCTTTAAATGTTGTTGACCTGTAGTTCCCAGCATTTCTCTTCATTGACTGTGGTAGCTGGGGCTAATGGAAGTTGTTGTCCAACATTTGGGGAGTATAAGTTGGTCTTTTTTCATATGGTGGTTTCTTAGGTTATCTTGGTTTTTCTTAAGGTAAGCATCATTGCAAGAAATTGTACTTGTCTGGGTGGTCACTTATAAGGGTGGGAATATTTCTTTAGGAATCTTTCTACATGATGCCTTTTTCTGCTTCTAAGTTGGCGTCATTTTATTATTTCTATGCTATGTTGTATGATGTTTTTGGATTGCATCCCTAGTATCATCAAGGGTAAAGAGCTTTTAAAGTATGTGAATTGTAATAACAAGAACAATAGTTTTTATTTAGTTAAAGTAGCAGAATCATTGAAATCAGTTGTATTTAGGTTAACATGACTAATAAATGCCATTAATTTCTCTGTGACTAAATCAGGATCCAATCCAATAATATTTCAGGGTGTGTTTTTTGCACATGTACACATTTGAAAAGAAAGAGTACAGTGAAAAAACTGTTAGGGTATGCTAGGGTGAAGAATTTTTTTTTCAGCCAATGACCCTTCTAAAAGCAGTAGTGTAAACTGCATTTTTTGCACTTTTGCAAAAGAGAATGCTGTATGACTTACAAAATCTGATTATGAGCAGAAATGAAATTGTTGGCAGCTACAGATCTTTTGTATGTGAACACAGAACAAAAGGAGAACTCAGAACTGTCTTGTTTATATGCCAAAGAGGAAAATAATGTGTAACACAAATGTCTGCTAATTGTGGGGGTCCTGGTGTTCCTTCTTGTAGGAGGATCTGAAAATTACCCACCATGCGGACAACACCTTGAGAAGTTTCTGCAAGTGGCAGAAAGCCATCAATGTCAAGGGGGATACTCACCCGCTGCACCATGATGTAGCCATCCTACTCACCAGGTACAACCACTTGCATTTCTCTTAACAGTAATGTACACTAAATTTTTTTGACAAGTGAGAAGCTTCACGGCATTCTTTTTGAAATTGTCTTTGCACTGAAGCTAGTAAATTGTGTCCATAAACCAGATTTTAAAAGAGGTTAATTGTCCATATCTAGTCGCGCTGGCCACGTGACCACGGAAGATTGTCTTCAGACAAATACTAGCTCTGTGGGTTGGAAATGGAGATGAGCACCGCCCCCTAGAATCAGACATGACTGGACAAATTGTCAAGGGCAACCTTTACCTTTACCTAATTGTCCTTAAAACCTTCAAAAAATCTCTGGAATCATTGTACTGCACTTCTCCAGACTCACCTCATAGTATCAGATCCTAGGCCCTTGTTAGTCTGGTTTTGTGTTGTAGCTATATGCCCATCCTTTTCAAGAGTTTTCGGCTGCTGATTTGTTTCAAAAACTAGTTTGGATCATGGTAGGCATTGTAACCATCTCCTTGTTATGTGTATGTTTCTCCTCAATTGCAACAGGAAAGATCTCTGCACTGCTGTGAACCATCCGTGTGAAACACTGGGTCTCTCTCATGTCTCTGGAATGTGCCAACCACACAGGAGTTGTAACATAAATGAGGACACGGGTCTTCCCCTAGCATTCACTGTGGCCCACGAACTTGGACACAGGTACTATGCAGCTGAATATTGCTTTCAAAATACCAAACATATAAGAAGGCTTTTTGCATTACTTTAAAGGAAAGTACTGAAAATAGCTACAGGATCTCTAGGAAAAGGACAGCAGCCTATGTATCACAAACTTTAATGCACCTGCCAAACTGTCACTAAAATGTTGCTGATCTATTTGCTCATATGTGTGTTGCAGTGGGTCATTCCAAATAATTGGAGAGAGATACTCTGAAATTTCAAAGAAATGTAATTTACTGGAGGTTTTAATATATTCTCAAGAAAAGGTAGGGCTTTTTTATGCTGCAGTCAGAATGTTAATCAGTACTCCCCCTCACACACCTTGCCTACTATTTTAAAAACATGCACACAATTTGAAGCATCTACTTTCAGGTCTTCTGGCTTTTTTGTAGATGTTGCTGAACATCCCACAAAAGCCTAGGGAGCGAAGCCATAAGATCTGTGAGATGGGCTTCGCCCTGTATTTCTGGGGTGATGTTTGAAGCTCCTTTGAAGTTTTATCTGTGTGTACAGCTGACCTCCCCCTTTGGGGGACTGTGCTCTTACAGTTTTGGGATTCAGCATGATGGAAGCGGCAATGACTGTGAGCCAGTTGGGAAAAGACCTTTCATCATGTCTCCACAGCTCCTGTACGATACTTCACCACTCACCTGGTCCCACTGCAGCAGGGAGTACATTACCCGCTTCCTGGAGTAAGTCTGAAGGCTCATTCCTTTCATCTGTAGCTGTGGCACACAAGATTAATTGCTTCCCATGTGGGGAGGCTGGAGGGGTATTGTTGGGAGTTGTGAAACAAAGCTTCATTAGTTTTACTCCGCTGTGAGATGTGTCACCCAGATGTAATGGTCATATGTAATTCTCATGCATCTGTAGTTTTTCCTGGTGTTGTTTTTATTGTGGTTTCTATTTTGTGTTGCCAGTTCTTGGAGTTATTGGCCATCTTGATTTTCAGGATAGATGGTAATACAAATGTGTTTAATAATTTTCCATTTTATTTTATGGGCAAATGTATCCTTGATCAAAATTTATTTCATGACAGTTTACTATGATAGGATGTATTAATGTAATGATAACACGCCGCTAGACAATGCTTAACAATTAATGTTTTGTTTGCTGACATAGTGCTTAGTATTACTCACCAGCCCTGCCTGCAGTCCTTGTCAGGGCCAGATTCTTCCCAGCACATATTTATTTTAAGCACTGCTAACACCTTTACCTCATGCTTGGCAATTAGCTTGCCTGAACATTTATATCTATAGCTTCTGTTTGTGTGCAGGGACAAGAAAAATCATAGAATAATAAGAGAATAATGAAATAGGAAGGGGCCTATAAGACCACCGAGTCCAACCGTGCTGAGTGCAGGAATACAGATCAAAGAATATTTGCCAGGTGGTTGTCTAAGTTTCTCTTTAATGCCTCTAGTGTTGGAGCACTCACCACCTGTCAAGGTAATTGATTCCATTGCCATACTGCTCTTAACAGTTATGATGTTTTTTGTGATATTCAACGGAAATCTGGCTTGAGATAACTTGAGCCCATTGTTGCATGTCCTGCACTTTGGGATGATTGAGAACAGATCCTGCCCGTCCTCTGTATGACAACCTTTCAAGTATTTGAAAAGTGTTATCATGTCTCCCCTCAGTCTTCTTTTTTCAAAGCTAAATAAGCCCAGTTCTTTCAGTCTTTCCTCATAAGGCTTGGTTTCCAGCCATGTGATCATCCTTGTTGCCCTCCTCTGAACTTGTTTTAATTTGTCAGGATCCTTCTTGAATTGTGGGGTCCAGAACTGGACACAATACTCAGGATGAGGCCTAATCAGAGCCAAATAGAAGGGAAGTAGTACCTCGTAGAGTTTGGAGACTGTACAGTACTTATATTAATGTAGCCTAAATTAGCATTGTTGGCTCATATTCAGCTTGTGTTCTACAACAATTCCAAGATCTTTCTTGCTCATAATATTGCTGAGCCAGGCATCCCTCATCTTGTAACTGTGTATTTGGTTTCTTTTTCCCAGTTGCAGTACTTTGCACTGTTAAATTTCATTCTGCTGTTCTCAGCACAGAGCTCCAGTCTATCCAGATCATTTTGAATTTTGTTTTTTTTTCTTCCAGGGTATTAACTATTCCACCCAATTCTGTGTCATTCACAAATTTGATCAGCATTCCTTGCATCTCTCTGATCCAAGTCATTAATAAAAATACAGTGGTGCCTCGCATAGCGAGGGTTAATCCGTTCCGGATTAACCTTCGCTATAGCGAAACATCGCTAAACGGAATAAAAAAAGCCATAGAAATGCATTGAACGAAGTTCAATGCGTTCCTATGGCTTGAAAACTCACCGTTCAGCGATGTTTCTTCATAGCGCCGCCATTTTCGCGCCCTTGTTAAGCGAGGGCAGGGCGCGAAAATGCGGCGCAGACCTTCCGGCGGCCATTTTGGAACCGCCGATCAGCTGTTCTCCCCGGCTTCGTTATGCAAAGATCGCTAAGCGAATCGCTTAGCGATCTTCGCAAAGCGAAAAAACCCCATAGGGGCCATCGCTGAGCGAATGCTCCAGCGATGGCCCAGAGTGCCTCGTTAAGCGATTTCATCGCTCAGCGAGGCACTCGTTAAGCGAGGCACCACTGTATTGAAGAACACTGGACCCAGGACTGAGCCCTGGGGTACCCCACTTGTTATCTTCTCCCCATTTGAGAAGGAGTTTACAAAAGACTAAAAAACACTAATTTTGGATAGATTTCAAGGTCACCAATATAGTGGCTTAGAAACACCATTTCATCACACTTAACTTCCACATTGCATACAAGATTAGTGCTGCAAACGTAGTCTATATGCTTTGCATGCTTCAGTATGGAGGAGAGTTATAATCCATAGACATCTGTTCTTCCAAGCCCCACCTGGAATGAGCTTCATGGTATAACTGTAGGGCTTAGTTTGTAAGATGAACTCAAGTAGACCTGGGAAGCATGTTCCCAAACAGAGAAGTTATCTGGTCAATTGTGAGGAAATGACACACTCTTCCTGGGATATTTGCAGTCCAAAGAAGAAAGAACATATTTTCTTCCCACTTCTTTGGGCTGTGCACATTTCAGGAATAGATAAATGTGCTTTTCTTAGTCTGTGTAACTATCCATGTTAGTCATAATATTAAAGTCAGTGTTAGGAAGGCAGGGGAGGTAGAAAAGAAACTGGGAGTCAGAGGTCTGCAACCAGGAACAGTTTAAATGAACTGCGCAAACCATCAAGGGCTTTCTTGATCTCTGAAATCTCAACATATCCTTAGGTTAAGCTGAGATTACTTCTACCTCCTCCCCCACGAAAAGCTTTCCACTGTAGAGTTTTGTTGCCTGTTAAATAGTTTCTGGCAAGTGAGTTGGACGGAAAAGATTGGGATTAGTAATCTGGTGATTTTAGGAATGTTCCCCCAGGTTTTTTAGATATCTACAGAATGTTTGGGTGCATGCATCTGGCTTTCTGACATTGGACCTGATTCTGTGTTAAGTTAGCAATAGAGCTCAAGATCAGGATCAGCCCTGCTTCAGAGAGTTAGACCCCTAGTCCCGAACCAGAAATGATGCTGGCCCAAATCTTTTGTTAGTATACACTGGACCGGATTCCACCCCAGGCTTCATCCTGCAAATACAGTGGTGCCTCACTTAATGAGTGCACCGTTTAACGATTAATCCGCATACCGATGTTTACACAAATGATAATTGGAGCACAGATGTTAAAATAATGGACATTCACTGTTCTCCTGATTTGGAGTATTTGGCAGTGAAATGCCGCCCCTTTTACCTGCCTCGTGAGTTTAATGTTGTTATAATAACAGCAATATATATACCTCCTGATGCTAACACAACGAGCCCGCCTCCCAGCTGGGTAGAAAGGCTCTTGCGAAGGAGAGCACGGACGTCCACCTCCCTCCTTCACAAGAGCCGGCCGGCGTTTCAGCTGGGCAGCGGGCTCTTGCAGAGGAGGGAGGTGGCTCCCTCCTTGCAAGAGCCCGCCTCCCAGCTGGGTAGAAAGGCTCTTGCGAAGGAGAGCACGGACGTCCACCTCCCTCCTTCACAAGAGCCGGCCGGCGTTTCAGCTGGGCAGCGGGCTCTTGCAGAGGAGGGAGGTGGCTCCCTCTTTGCAAGAGCCCGCCTTCCAGCTGGGTAGAAAGGCTCTTGCGAAGGAGAGCAGGAACCTCCACCTCCCTCCTTCGCAAGAGCCGGCCGGCGTTTCAGCTGGGCAGCGGGCTCTTGCAGAGGAGGGAGGTGGCTCCCTCCTTGCAAGAGCCCGCCTCCCAGCTGGGTAGAAAGGCTCTTGCAAAGGAGAGCACGGACGTCCACCTCCCTCCTTCACAAGAGCCGGCCGGCGTTTCAGCTGGGCAGCGGGCTCTTGCAGAGGAGGGAGGTGGCTCCCTCCTTGCAAGAGCCCGCCTCCCAGCTGATCGGCGGTTCCAAAATGGCCGCCAGTTTCGCGCCCTGCTTACCAAGGGTGCGAAAATGGCAGCGGTATGGAGGAACTTCGCTGAACGGTGAGTACGGAAGCCATTGGAACGCATTAAACTAAGTTTAATGCGTTCCAGTGGCTTTTTGCTTTCCGTTTAACGAAGTTTTCACATCGCTATGCGAGGCACCACTGTACTTCTATTCTTACTTGTGATATTGTAGATGCCCTTTCTGCCCTAATTAGCCCTGAGGAATGACACATCTAACTGTGTATAAAACCATGTACTTTGAACCAGCTGCTGCTCACCATGCCTCATACAAAGACAAACAAATAAATCCAGATATTCCTTGCCCAAATGGGCGACTGCAAAGGTCACTTTGACTGCATAGGTCACTTTTAGGACATTGCACAAAGTGTGTTGCTTGTATACTGCCCATAGTGCTTAAAACACCCTCTGGGTAGTTTAAAGTTTAATAATGCAGGCTACACATTTTCTCCCCATCCCCACCCCCACCCCCATGAGCTGAGTCCTCAGTTTACCAACCTTGGAAAGATAGAACGTTGAATCATCCTTGAGCTTGCTACCTGAGCCCATCAGTATTGAACTCAGGTCTTGAACAGAGTCCTTGCAGTATTGCAGTTTAACCACTGTGCCACGAGGCTCCCAAAGCTCACCTGTTCCTTAAGGCAGAACATAACCTGATTTTTCTCTTTCTTCTAACATCTTTTTCTTTGCAAAGTAAGTTGCAGGTGAAAACATAATTTTATTTACTTCAAACAGCCAGAAATCTTTGAGATGCAGTTTCTTAAATTGGTTTCAAAGGGCAGGGCCACAATATGGGACTGAGCTATTTTTGCATGGAGAAGGTCCCAGATTCAATCTATAACAGCCTCTCTAGGTATCAGAGGAAGTCTCTGTTGAGGCTCTGAGGATAGAGTGACTACCTCTCAGAGGTGGTAGTACTGGGCTAGATGGCTGAATGCTTTTTTATTATTTGATGATAATTCATCATCTATTCATTTCAGCCTTCAGGCTCTTCTTAATTGGTTATGACTGTTAGTTTCCACTTCCTCTGAAGAGCTGGCCTTTCCTCACGAAGAGGTCTGTGTATATTTTGATTCTTTGATGCCAGACTAAAAATAGATGAGGCCTGTCTTAGTCACACCACACAAAATGATTGAATGTATCTGATGCCATTGAAGCTGAAGCACTCCTGAATTATCTTAGTGGAAGAAGGATAGAGGATTAGGTTTTTTGTAGCATGCACTCTGTTCCCTTTTTGCTCACTTGCTCGCACCTCACCATCAGAGAAATAAGGCAGTGGTCCCCACTCAGGCAACCAGCTCTCAAACAGTTGTTGAGGTTGCTAAGGTAGATGATACTCAGGTACCTAAGTCCCATTTCTTGACCTACTGGGAAAGTTAACCTCCTTAGTGAAAGATTGCTATGCTTTCTTTCTCCTTTGCCTCAAAGTGCTTTTTCCTTTGTCTCATAGTCTCTGCTCTTTGTTTGGATGTGTTTTTTTGCAGTCGAGGCTGGGGACTTTGCCTGGATGACCCACCAGCTCCTGATGTGATTGACTTCTTCCCATCCATCCCTCCAGGAGTCCTCTACGATGTCAGCCACCAGTGCCGGCTCCAATATGGAGCACATTCCACCTATTGTGATGATATGGATGTAAGGGGGTTTTCACTAGGCTTTTTGAGTTAGAACCAGTGCAGAGATGCCAGTATAGACGAGCTACTTTCCTCTGTGAGTGAGAGGGGGAAGCAATTATTGTCAGGACCGCTAGAGAGTTGAGGGTTAAAAGCCCAAAACACTGACTGCATTTGCTCACATTTGTTCATTTCCAGAATTTACTTTCTACTCCTGTCTCAATAAGGCTCATAGCATAGCTAGAGTGGTCGAAATGACTAGATAGGTGGGGCATAAATACAATCAGTCAATCAATAAAAATAGCAGCTAAAAAATAAAAAAAAACCCAAATCCTGTGTAATAAAATAATATGTTTAAAAATCACAGAATAAGAAAGTTACAGAGGCAATGCAGCATTAAATAACTATTATCAATGGCAGGAGAATAGAATATCACTTCCACCATATTTGAAGGCGTCCTACACAAGTATTTGCCCTCCTCCCTTTGTCCACAGCCCTTTACCATGTTAGCTCCCTATTAGTGTGCTGGCTCCAAGATGGAGCACACTCTGTCTGCTGTGATGGTTTGGATGCAAGGAGGGCCTGGAGGCTTGGATTTTCTATTTGTTCTCGGTGTATTCCCCTTTCCTTTCTTGGTTCCCACATTGTTGAAGTTGGGATGAGGTAACAGAAAAACCTTAAAAGCAAAAATAAAAAGAATAAAAAAAGATGGAATGAGAAATCTTTAGGAGTGAGGACATCCATCTTGTTAACATTATTTAACATTCTTTAGCAGAGCTTTGGCTCTGCATAACAACTATGAGTGGAGGAAAAGTGTATCTCCATTCTCATCCATGCCTATTTTGCTTTGTCTCTGTCCTGCTCCTTCTAGTAGCTTTTTTCAGCACACAGTAGTAAGGTAAGAGTGAGCAGACTGTGGACTAAGATTCTATCTTTCTACATCCCAAACCATGAGTGGTAGTATCTTGGATAGTCATCTAAAGTATTAAAAGCAGGTGAGCTTTTAGGTCCAGCAGAACCCTTCTTCAGGCTTGGCCTTGCAGAGCTTAAGGCTGTAGAAGGAGAAAAGTTTCCAAATCAATTTGATCAGAATCTTACTTCAGAATATGAGTAAAAGTTGTTTCCTAAGACTGAGGATACAAATTTGTAGAATCAGCTCATGGGTTTCACTTCATTCAGTGTAAGAACAATTATCTTCCCCTTCTTTATAAACAAAGGATTACTAGCTGTCTAGTGCATTCTTTATTGTAATTTGTCAGCATGATGCACTTTTTTGGGCTGGGAGTAGAGGCAGACAAAGACATAGCAATCCCTGTATCAGAATAATTCAAAAGAAATTGTAGTTAACATCCTAGATAAAAACATTCAGTAGTAATTAAATTAAGAGTTACTACGTGGTGGCGCTGTGGGCTAACCCGCAGAAGCCTGTGCTGCAGGGTCAGAAGATCCGGCAGTTGTAAGATCAAATCCACGCAACGGAATGAGCACCCGTCGCTTGTCCCAGCTCCCGCCAACCTAGCGGTTCGAAAGCATGCAAATGCGAGTAGATAAATAGGGACCGCCTCGGTGGGAAGGTAAACAGCGTTCCGTGTCTAAATCACTCTGGCCATGTGACCATGGAAAGATTGTCTTTGGACAAAACGCTGGCTCTATGGCTTGAAGAGCGGGATGAGCGCCGCCCCCTAGAGTCGGACACGACTGGACAAAAATTGTCAAGGGGAACCTTTACCTTTTTACCTTTTTATCCAGCAGTTTCTTGTTAATGAGTAAAGGAAGATGGGTAAACTTGTAAAATCAAACTTGTAGAGTCAGTTTGATTCTACAAGTTTGCAGTCTCCATCTTTGGACAGTCAACATACAGTGTGATGCTGCAGTGTCTGGACAGGATGATTTTTGGACTTTTTTCTTTCTACTCAAAATCCTTGTGTTTTGCAATGTCCATTTCGGCTGGATCTGTAAGCTAGCCTGCTTTTACCACTGTGTGTATTTATAGTGACCTTAATAGGGCTTTCAGTTTCCATGGCTGAATGGGGGATTAAAACCTTGTTCTCCAGAGTCTGTCACTGTATCCACTACACTACAGTGGAAATCTCGATTGACCATCTTAGTGATCTAATAAAGTTATCAATAAGCGTGTTTTTTTTAATTCTGTACACTGATGGCATGGCTTTTTTCTTTTTCTTCATGGCTTCTCGATGTTTTTCTCTACTGTGTTCTAAAAAGTATCTCCCTATATCACTGTACAATGAGGAAATGAAAGACTGCCTGTCTTTTGCCTGGGATGCCTCCATTTCTTGTTCTTCGAAGACAGGCAATAATGTTAAACAGGCAACAAACATGGAAGACTTCCCATTGGGGGAGGGGTCATCTTATGAAGATGTAGCATTGGGATGATCTCCCCATAGAGTTCTGTATTATAGTGCTTTGAGATCCACATCTGGGCAGTGAGGTTCCCCAAAGCTCATTTGAACAGAGATCTTCTGTTCTCAGGTTTGTTAATTTGGTAAAGCACAATGTGCATAGGTGGCATGAGTCCTAATAATTTCAAGCTCTTTGTCCATTGGTTCCTTTTCAATCCATATGAGCAACCTTCTCTCTAATTTTCCGGTGTGCTGCATGGAGGCTCCAACCCATGTGTGTCGTGTTCCGGCCGTGACTGGAAGCAAATATCACACAGCTTAGAGGGTACATTGCATATGAGTCTTCTGCTTCTCAATTCATTCTCAAAAAGATTCAACAGTTTTGGAAAGTCAGATTGCTAGGGTAGATTGGAGATTAGCACATAAAAAGGGAGCTTTCCGTTTTCTTACAAGTTGGGCACCTGAATGTATCTGACCAAAGGTACTACATGAGAAAATTATGCATACAGCTTTCCTCTTTTCCTACAGAGCGTCTGCCACACACTCTGGTGCTCTGTGGGGAACACTTGTCATTCCAAGCTGGATGCAGCTGTTGATGGCACCAGATGTGATGAGAACAAGGTAACTGTACTTGGCCTCTGAGCAGTTGCAACAGTCATGGGCAGTTCTAGGTGGGCATTAAGAGTTGCTTTGTGTGCCATAATTTCTTTGCCATGCATACACCAGCTTTCAAAGCCCTACCATGCAGGTAGGAGAAATGCATTGGAATCTTAATTCTGTGTAAATAATGCCAGATTTCTCTTTAAATCTGTTACTTTGTAACAAGTTCACAATATAATGTCAAGAAAATGTTGCTTGCATCTGTCCCAACTTAGCTTCCTCTGTTAATGCTGTTCCATTAATGGAGATGTCCGGAACAGTGAGTGACTTATTTTCAGTAGTACAGGCATGGCAATGTAGGTAAGGTGCTTGGCCAGTCCCAGCTGATCACATACAGTGGTGCCCTGCTTTACGATTGCCACGCATTATGACGAAACCGCATTACGATGATATTTTTGTGATCACAATCGCGCTTGCAACACGATTGTCTAAATGGAGTTTTTTCGCTTTGCGATGATCGGTTTCCTGCTTCGGGAACCGATTCTTCGCAAAATGACGTTTTTTAAACAGCTGATTGGCGGTTTCAAAATGGCCACCAAGTAAACAAAATGGCTCCCCGCTGTTTTCTGGGACGGATTCCTCGCAAGACAGGCAGCGAAAATGGCTGCCCTATGGGACGGTGAGGTTTGACTCCACTGGAACGCATTGAAGGGGTTTCAATGCATTTCAGCTGGTTTGTTTTTGTTTTGTTTTTTGCATTACGATGTTTTTGCTTAACGACGATTTTCCTGGAACGGATTATCGCCGTTAAGCAAGGCACCACTGTATATACTTGTGCTTTGTCAGTCTTGGCTTATTACGTCAAATAGGAAGGACATGTCCCAACTGTAAAAAGTGTTATCAGTTTCTTCAAAAGAGGTAGTAAGTAGGCTGCTTCTGAAGGAACCTAATCACAGGTTTGTACAGTGGTGCCACGCAAGATGATAATCCATTCCCCTGAAATTGCTGTTAAGCAAAATCGTCGTTCCCCATTGGAATGCATTGAAACCCATTTAATGCATTCTAATGGGGAAATTACCTCGTTCCAGCGAAGATCGCCCATTGGGGAAGCCATTTTCCGAGTGCCAATCAGCTGTAAAAATGGCTGCCCTGTGAAGCATGGGTCCGGAAAAGATAGGGCAGCAATTTTGCAGAGCCGGAAAAGTCTTGCGAACAAATGGTTTGCAAAGCACAGACCTAATTGTCGTGAAATGAAAATCCCCCAATGAAATGACTGTTTTGCGAATCGCTATAGCAATCGCAAAAAGTCATTGTCCTGCGGACTTGTCGTTTAGCGGGGTCGTCCTGTGAGACACCACTGTATAAGCAAAATTGTGAATATAACTTATACTAAAGAAAGAGCTGCAAGCCTCTGTATTATATGCCTAAGCACATGTATCTTAGTTTTTGTTTGTCCAAGCTCCCAAATTCAGCATATATTTGGGAAATGTTCAGGCTGCCCTTTTGTTCCTAAGGTGCTTTGAAATATTTTCCCCTCCTTTGCGGATCATCTGAAGATGGACAAAGGTGCTTGAGCAATTTTTACAGAGCATTGAATTATAGGACAACCATAGTGGAGTGCTGCTAACCCTTTCATATTCTACAGTGGTGTTTCAATGGGGAATGTGTGCACATGGAATATCATCCTGAGTCCATTGATGGAGGCTGGGCAGCTTGGAGTTCCTGGTCCAGCTGCTCCCGAAGCTGTGGAGCTGGTGTGCAGAGTGCAGAGCGGCAATGTAGCAACCCCATGTAAGTGACTGACAATTATTTATTTATTTATGTATTTTATTTTTGGACTTATATACCGCCCTCAATGGGGAATGTGTGCACATGGAATATCATCCTGAGTCCATTGATGGAGGCTGGGCAGCTTGGAGTTCCTGGTCCAGCTGCTCCCGAAGCTGTGGAGCTGGTGTGCAGAGTGCAGAGCGGCAATGTAGCAACCCCATGTAAGTGACTGACAATTATTTATTTATTTATGTATTTTATTTTTGGACTTATATACCGCCCCATAGTGCTATGCTACATGTCTGCAAGAGATTTTCCCCATTAGTCTGTCTCATGCTTCCATAACAATTATTGGTGTGGAGAGACAAGTCAAGGTGAGTTATAAGGTCATGGCCTTTATTTGCTTGATTAATGCTGCTGTATAGCTTTCATTGACTGAAAGCCAGCAGTTTGTTGTAGCTAGGGTAGGATCACTGAATCAGTGAAACTTGCAGAGGAGTTGACTCACCAAATCCCCACTGATTCAATTAGCCTACTCTAGTTGCATTTTAATACTGGATTTCAGCGGTTATATAGTGCAAAGAATACTTCCTTTACTGAAGAGAGAGTTTCAAACTTTTGTACTGTATGCTTTGTAAGCATGTGTAAATTTGTTTTTATCATTTGAGATGCAATGTAAAATGAAAATGGAAACTACAAGTTTTGTAAGAAATAAATAATTGTCAAAAATATTTCACATTCCAAAACAGAAAATATTATTTTTTGTGTTCTCCAACATTTCCAGCTTTTCCAGGGGGATATTTTTAAATGGTCCTTGATTTGTTCATTGTTATGTCTGAACCTGGCAAGCAGAGATATTCTCTTCCAACCAGTTAAACAAATCTTCCAGAATTTGTCTGTGGCTTGTTTCTCTGGCTTGTTGAAGGAGTAGATGAAGCCAGAATACTAGTTCCCCCTTGATGAACTAGGGTACATTTACAACACTGGTTGATTGTGGTGTCCAAATGAACCCAACATTGGATTAGAGAGGCCTGTGGACTGACCCAGCAATGTTCTTCTTAGGTTCTTTTGGATGTTCCTAAGAGATTGTGGTATCAAAAGCTAGTTTGATCACTTATGGCTCTCCCTATCATAAGTTTTTTTTTGGGGGGGGGGAAGCAACACATGTTCTCCACTTAAGGAGGTTCCAGATTGGGCCCCATTTTTAACTTCTCCATGTTTTCCTACTGCTGCGTCTATCTTTTTTCTTTCTATAAAAAAAAACTGTGAAAGAAGAAAACAGAACAGCTGCAGGATGTCTTTTGCTTTATGTCTCTCTGAAAGCACCCTTAACCTTGTAGCTCATTACTGCAATCAGTTTCCTTCAAAATAAACACAGGATGCTACCTCATGCTTTTTGTTCCATATAACATTCTACTAAAGTTCTCTTCTGTGTGACTGATAGAAACACGGAGAAGTTAGCTAACTTCACCCAAGGAAATTGTTTGAGTTGTCAAGAAGGCCTCTTTCTTGCTTCTCTTTCTACATATCATTTTATTGAGGACTGCAGAATGTCTTCTGGTCCAGCTTTGTTTGCAGAATCAGGAAGTTTGCATACAGTATATCACAGAAGTGAGTACACCCACCCACATTTCATAAATACTTTAGTATATCTTTTCATGTGACAACACTGAAGAAATGACTCTTGGCTACAATATAAAGCACTGAGTATACAGCTTGCGTAACAGTGTAGATGTGCTGTCTCCTCAAAGTAATGCAACACACAGCCATTAATGTCTAAACCACTGGCAACAAAAGTGGGTAAACCCTGTCCAGCACAGAGATGTTCCGAATTTCTGCTTCAAGGAAAGGGAACAGGAATAGCTTGGCATATACCATGAGGACTGCCAGTGCACGTGACTGGGGATTGGTACTCAGCAGAATAACATGAGAAAATAAGCTGTCAGCTGGTAAATCTGGCTGTACCTGATGGGGAAGGGGGTGATTTGTTCCAGAAGCATTCATTAGCAAACCCTCTATACTAACAGATTGGGCTCATTTCCAGGACAAATCATGCCTCTTCTTCGAGTCTGACCAAATTAAGCAGTTGCCACATTTTTCCTTCATGGGATCCTACTGTTTCTTGGAGGAGTTATTTGCACTTTCTCTTAGGTTTCCAAGTTTTCTCAGAGGCATGTGCTAGGCATCCAGTTTAGCTTAATTTCAGCAGGTGAAATGTACTGGTGTGCTTTCAGGCCATTGTTCGCTTTTTTTCTCCCCAAAAGCTGTTTTATTACACCTTTAATGTGCTGGCGAATTGTTTTTCTTTTGTAACTACAGGCCAAAGTATGGTGGGAAATACTGTTTAGGAGAACGGAAATGCTTTAGGGTTTGCAATATACACTCATGCCCTGCAAATAAGCCATCTTTCCGACATATTCAGTGCAGCCGCTTTGATGCCAGGCCCTACAAAGGGAAATTTTATACATGGATTCCAGTCCTGAATCGCAGTAAGTCTCTCTGCCTCCTGAGAGCAAATAACTAAGATATATAGTGTTTAAAATAATTTCTTCAATTATATTATATCTTTCATACTTAATGCTAATCAATTGTTCGTTTGCCATAGGTATCTGGGTTTGTGTGAGTGAGTTCCAGCTCTTTGATCTGGAGGTTTGCTGGATGTGTTGTAGTTGCTACTGAACCAGAACAAGCAGCAATTGAGATTGCTTGATTTAGTGTTACTATTGAATGAGTAGAAGATACTGTAGTTAGTGAGAAGTAAGATACTTGCTACTATGCAGGTATTCCGTGTTGCCAGCTGTACTATTTATTACCTTTGGAAGGAAGATATGACTGATTGGCACAACTGAGGCAGGAAGGGGATCCTCCTTTCCATAGCATAGGCCAAGTTGTCTTTAACCTGGGATAAAGCCCTTAGCTGGGCTTGGTTGTCAGTGTCACCTGTAATTTTGCTGTGCAGCTGCCCTTCCCAGCATCACACAACCTTAGAACACAAAAGGTGCCTTAGGCAGAGGGAGATAGAAAAGTAGTCAGATGGCCTCAACTTGGCAAGCTTCTTAATGACATGTTCTGCAATCTACAGGTAACCCTTGTGAATTACACTGTCGCCCAAAAAATGAATACTTTTCTGAAAAGCTCCGGGATGCTGTCATTGACGGGACCCCGTGTCATGAAGGGAACTCCAGCCGGGACATGTGCATTAATGGGATCTGTAAGGCAAGTGATGGTGTGATGTTTATTTCTGTTGTGTGATGGACCAATGTGGTTCCCTCTTGAAGAACATGTAGACATCAACACGGTTTGCTTGGATTCATATCTCACATGCAGTCAGAGCTGCGGGGATGATGAAAAGGCAAAAGACTATTAATAAACAGCCATATTTTCAAGTAAGCATAGGTGAAATGATGCTAGATAATGGAATACCAGCAAATAAACAGTAAGGAAAACAGCAGTTTTAGAGTACATTTTGAATACAAGCCCATTGATACAAGTGCATTGATAAAAGTATTATTTTAGGATATATATCTAAATTTAACTGAGTTATTCAAATTATTTCAAATTCCCTGAGATTTAGAATATATTGAAATTTTGTTAATTGGTTTTCAAGGAGATAAATCACAGAATCATAGAGTCACTGAGTTGAAAGGGGCCTATAGGGCGTTCAAATCAAACCCCCTGCTCAATGCAGGAATCCAAATCAATAAATGAGATAAGAAACTTAAATTGGTATGAACTAAATTCAGATTCCTTTCAGCTCTACCATCAGATGTAGTGGCAAAATTGATGGGATAAATACTTTTCTATACATGTTCCAAATTAAAAGCTTATTTTTTTTTTATCATAGTCTTATGTTGCATACAAAGACTTGGGGTTTGAATGCAATTGTTGTGATTTCATATTCAACCATATGAATTTATTGGACTGATATATAATGTCAAGTGTATGCCTTATTTGATTGGCTATATAATATAACTTTAAATAAGGAAGTCCCAACCCTCTTATTAATCTTGCCTTTTTGTGTCCATTGCAAAATTTATTCACAATGTTTTGCAAGTCTTCCAACTTTTTCTTAACCTCTTAAGTAAGAAATTTATCTTAGCTAAAATCTTCATTTTATATACTGCTGTTGTACCAAATTATGAAAGTCTAATATTCCTTAAATCATCTAATTTATCTTTTATTTCTTGCTTCAATATTTTGAAGTTTTACTCTTTCAGTTTTTCTAAATTGTTTGAAATATATTAACTTATACTTTCAAATATTAATATATTTTTTCTAATTACCTCTTTTTTCTCCTTACTGTAATTAAACATCATCATCTCTGATTTATGCTAATCTATCTGTAACCCCATTATCTCTTTAAATATGATTTTAACTTGTCCATAACCCTATCTGTAACCCGATTATCTCTCCTAATTCTTTTAAATATGATTTTAACTTGTCCATAACCATTAATGAATTTTCTATTGTTACTGTAGTACCTATACCACATATTAATTTATCGTCTCTATTAACATTCAGCAATAGTTTTATAACTATCCTTGTCTAGTATCATGGCCTAAAGATATCTATTCTGCTATGCTATAATTTTCTAATACCATTGTGATATTAGTCTGAGTATACTTTGACTGTCACACCTTCAAATTGCTCCCCAAAACCTAGTATTTTCATTATCATTTTTAGTGTTGGCCATTTCACACAATCAAATGCCTTAAAAACATCCAGTGAAATCGTTCCTGCTTCCATTTGTTTGTTTTATTATTACATTTATAATAAGAATGATTGCCTAAACCACTCACCTAGTCAGAATTGCCTTTTGTCTTTCTAGTATGAAGCCACTTTGAACTTTTTAAATATACTTTGTAATAAAACTATTCATTCTCTTAGCTAAAATTGTTATAAATATCTCTGCATCTCGATTTATTAAGGAAATAGGTCTATAAGTCCAAGATCAGTTGGATACTTACTTGTTTTTGTAATTAATATAATTAAAGAGGGTTTCCAAGATAATGGAATCTTTTCTCCTTCCATTCTTTTATTAAAAATAGACTTTAATTTAAATGCTAACATTTTTCTAAAAATACTGTGATCACAAGTGATCCAGTCTTGGAATCTTTCCTAGTTTTAATTGATTAATAATTTCCTCAATCTCTGCTTCTCTAATTGGTTGCTCCATTAAATCTCCATGTCTTGAAGTCTGTTTCCCAAATTTTACTCAATATATTGTCTAATTCTTCTCAAAGAAATCTTCCCCCAGTATTTAATTTCTGATAAAAAATCTTGAAAAACATCCAATTTCTTATTTATCAAATTACACCTTATACCCATTTCATATTTAGTTATTCCAATTAAACTCTTAGCTTTTTAAAATTGTGTGGCTTGAGTTCTTAGTACTAATTTTTTTTAAAAAATGTAAAATATATTAAATTTCTCTGAATTTTCTCCATTTCAATACTCTCTCTTTCCTTTTTGCTTGTAATATTAATATAATTTATTCCATAATATTTATGCCTCTCATTTCACTTTCATTATATCCCGTATAGCAGTGGTCCCCAACCTTTTCTGAACCGCAGACCAATTGGGGGCACGGGTGAGCGGGGTCTGTAGGGGGGGGTACACCCGTGCACGGGTGAGTGGGGGCAGACATGTGGGTGGGCAGGGGACCCGTGCCAACGCTGGTGGCAGGATACCCATGGGTGGGGGAGGCACCCATGCATGCGTGTGTGCATGTGGGGGCATGCATACATGCAGGGGAGCAGGATATCTGTCTCTGTGGCCCGGTCCTGCCAAGGCTACGACCCAGTACCAGGCCGTGGACAGGAGGTTGGGGTCCTCAGCCATATAGTACCCTTGCAGAACCTTCTCTATCAATAATTTCCCATCTTTCCATCATTTCTATTTTATCTATTATATTCTTTTGCTGAAAAATATTTGCTTCTCTCCTCTATCTTTTAGCTACAGGAAAAACCATAGCTTTGACTATTCGGACTTTTGTTGGCAAGGTGATGTCTCTGCTTTTTAAGATGCTGTCAAGGTTTGTCATCGCTTTCCTCCCAC